GAGTTGCCGGCGAGTTCTGGGGGCCTCCCACCCCAAAATGTCTTTTACTTTCCCCCGGTCCATTTCTATGCCACAAGGGGAGATGTGATAGCCCAGGAAATCAATTTCTGTTGTATGAAATTCGCACTTAGACAGTTTGGCAAACAATTTGTGCTTGAGCAACTTTCTGAGGACCTCTCTCACCAACTGCACATGGGAGGTCTTGTCGGGGGAGTAAACCAAAATGTCATCCAAGAAAACAAGCACCCCATTAAACAGGTGCTCATGCAACACTTCATTTATTAAATTCATGAAGACCCCCCGGGGCCCCCTGAAGACCGAATGGCATCACCAGGTATTCGAATTGTCCTAGAGGAGTATTGAAAGCAGTATACTCATCCCCTTCCCTTATGCGCACCCGAAAGTAAGCATCACGCAAATCAAGCTTGGGAAAGATTTTCCCTTTAGCCACTTCAGTGAGGAGATCCTTGATTAATGGCATAGGGTAAGCATTCGTAGAGGAGACAGCATTCAAACCCCGATAGTCGGTGCACAGCTGCAAACCCTCATCCTTCTTTTTCCAGAAGAGGACAGGGGCTGCGTACAGGGAAGAAGCGGGCCGGATGAAACCTCACGCCAGGTTTTTGTCAATAAACTTCCGCAACTCCACTTTCTCCCAGGGGCTCATGGCATAGAGTTTTCTCTTCGGCATCTTATGCCCCGGCAGCAGCTTGATTGCACAGTCAGAATTGCGGTGTGAGGGAAGCTCATCGGCTTCGGCTTCACCAAAAACCTGAGCTAGATCTCTATACTCCCAAGGGATTTTTGCCAGTTCCTCAGCAGCTAAGCATGCCCGAATGTAGTCAGTGCCCGGAGCCACTCCCCACTTCGGGTTCCAGAGATGGCCTTGGCATCTTGGGGAGATGAACTTTATAATCCTGTCACCCCACAAAATATAGGGATCATGCCTGTGGAGCCATGGGTTTCCCAGTACCAGGGGGAATCTGGCCCCTGGGGACACAATAAAACTCCGTTCTTCCCAATGGTCCCCTGCCCCCATGAGTAATGGCACAGTCTCGTATTTACAGGGCTCTTTCATCGGGGACCTGTCCATTTGGGTGAAGACCAAGGGCTCGGCCAGCCGGACCACATCTGCATCCAAGCCAGTGACCAAGGAGGGGTTGATTAAATCCCACCCGCACCCTGAATCGATGAGGTCCCGGACCCTAATGTGTGTGCCCAAAGTGGGATTTATCAGAGTCACAGTCACGAAAAAGAGAGGTGGGTAGCTGCTCACCGCTTTAGGTGCTTCCGTCGGTGGGTCCTGCTGTTTCGCACAACTTACAGCAGGACCTGGCCTTTTCCCGCCATCTCTGTCTCCTTCTCCCCGCTCGACTCGTTCTCCGCCTCGGCTTGGAGGGCGTGGGGGCCTTTTGCTTTCGCCGTGCCCTTTCTGGGGAGTAAGTCACTCCTGCGCTTGTCACCTTCTTTCCCCGTCGCTCCCCTGCCCTCTCCCAAGGGGCAGTTAGCAGCGAAATGGCCACGGTCCCCACATCTTAGGCACAGCCCCGTTTCATCCACTGCTCTCTGACTGAGGGCACTTGGGGCCCGGCTTTCGCCTTGGGGTGGGAAGGTGCCGGTGCTGTTCCCCCGCCTGCCACCGTGTTATCCAACCACATAGTGCGCAAGCGGCTCTCAGCCTCATGCATCCACGCCTCCAAGGTTCGCGGGTCTCGGGTCCCCAAAACCGAGTTTCGAATCTCTACATTCAGGCCCAACCAGTACTGCTGTGCAAACACGGGGTCTGTCCAGTCCCAGATTTGGCCACATTGAGGTCCTTCCTCCCACCACTTATTGGTCACTTTCGCATGATGGGCATGTTTTTTGAAATATGAGATTCTTCAATCAGTTAGCAGAATGTTAGCAGTTCTCCCCCCTTCATTGGCATACAGGCCCTCATTTATTATTTATTATTTATTTATTATTCCCCTCATTTATAATCTTTTTTACATGCTCATTCGTTTAGCGAAAGGAGACTTTTGGTAGACTGTATGATCACAGAGGAAAAAAACCTTTAAAACGGGGTGAGGGGGTTACAAGAAGATGCATGAGGAAGTTCCCTGATGATACTGACTTAAGGAGGATCAGAGAGCAGGCAAACAAAAGCGTCCCCATTGCAAACAGCCATTCTCTCCAGGGGAACTGCTCTTTTACCTGGAGACCAGTCGTAACTCCAGCCACCACCTGGATACTGGCAATCCTCTTTGGAGGCATTTTACCCCACTGAGGTCCCTCCCCAGAACCCTGCCTTTGAATGTTAAAACTCCCCCTTCATTGGCATACAAACTTAAAATGAGGGGGGAAGTTTACAAGGAGCTGCGTGAGGTATAGTTCCCTGTTGGTACTGACTTAAAGAGGATCAGAGAACAGGCAAACAGAAGCATCCTCAATGCCAAAAAATAAAAAAGAATTTCAGTGCTGCGTGCAAACCAAAGAAAGGTGGGAGGTATCCTCAGCGCAGAATGAAATTGACAAGACACATTGTTGTGTGTTAAGATCTGTATGAGCTTGAGTTCTGACATAGGATTGTAAATAGACCAATCAGAGCTGCACAGTGTTCTGAAGGGAAGCACTCTGATTGGACCTTATCTGTAAATAGTGATTGGTTAATATCTGACTTGTGGGCGTGGCTACCCAAGCCCGGACTGTTTAAAAGAGAGCCTGTTGCTCTATGTTTTTGTCACGTTCTGATTTCTTCTGACTTCGTTAATAAAGCTGATTCACTGTTCACAAGCTGTGTTGAGTCTTGTATTTAACACACGTAAAGAGAGATAGTTTAGCTTAGAGCAAGGGTGTCAAACATGCAGCCTGGGGGCCAGAGGAGGCCCCCGGAGGGCTTCTATCAGGCCCGAAGTGGAACTGGCTGTCTTCTGCTTCTTTTTCCAGTTCTGCTGCTGCTGCATCATTGTAGGTTTGCAGCTTAAAGATACACACCTGAACAGCATACTCAAGATTGCAACAGCACAGACATTTTGATGCAATAATTCAAAGCAAGAGGTGTCATCAGACACAGTTAAATAAACAAAATATCGCAAGAGTGCTAATGCTTTAAACATGTTTTTATTTTAAGTAAAAAAAAACCTTTGTGTTTGTGTCCGTGTCCTTTATAAAGTTTATATCTCCTTTTTTTATTATTATTTATTTATTGGTATATTATAAACAAATTAACTCCAACTTAATACATGTTACAATTGCCATTGTTGAACATAACTACATAGCATTAACAATTGATAGTGCACTTCTATCGGTTAGTTGTTAGTTTATATCTCCGCTACCTGGCATTACATTTTATGACACACATGGCCCAGCCCAACAAGGTCTCATTTATGTCAGATCCAGCCCTCATAACAAATGAGTTTGACAGCCAAGGCTTAGAGCTTTTGAATCATTTTTTCCTTTAATGCTTCAACAACAATGTTGGGGGGGGAATCATTTCGGCAGTCTCCAGAAGCAAGCCTGCAATTAAAATGGAAGGGGAAAGATTGCGCCTCCTTGTTTTAAATTTAAAAAAGACCTTTGGACACTACCTCTTCCACATCACAAGTGAAATATTGCGCTTTTTGGTTGTAGGTGCAGAATAAACACACAGAAATACACCAGAGAAAAAAATGGTGTGAACAGCAGGCAAACACATTGACTGCTGGGATTCTCTGGAATAAGCTGTCATGCATAATGGCCTTCCTTAGAAAGCTGTTAAATATGCCATGCTGTGTTGCTAGTGTGGTTTTGCACAGTCATTTTGGTCTGCCATCATTGGAAGTTAGGACATGGATAATTGCATTTAAAGTGTGCTTACTTTTTTCTGTTAATGGCTATCTGGCCTTATTGAAGGAGGATTCTTATAAATCATGAATCATGGTTTTACTACATAATCTATCAAGGAATTGGGGCTCGCTGAATCAGTAATTACAATTAGAAATAGATTAGGCAGATGGATTGTAATAGTTCTATTCTTCATGCTTGATGTGTTTGTCCATCACAATATTTTGGAATACTTCCCCCTGATTCTCTTCCTTCCTATACATATCATCTGACCTCAGCTGGTCTTCTTAGGGCTTTTATTCTTGCTAGAATGAATGCCCATTCAACGGTGCCTGCTTTTTGGATCTTCCCTTCTCTGACAGAATATGCTCTTGCTCCCTTGCTAAAATAGATACAATTTCTCATATTTTATTGGACTATCCTCTGTATTCTAACTTAAGATGTCATTTCATTTTACCATGGTTAGTGAATTTCTACGATTCTAATCCAAGCAGGGTGGTCCCCTTCCTACTCTCAGGTCAAAATTCTAATATAACTTTGGATGTCACCATTTTTTTTACTCCTTTTGTCTTTTGGGAAATAAATAGAGAGTATAAATGAAATTTCAGATTGTTACAGTGCTGAAGGCATTGAGTTATAGAGCTTTTATTCGACAAAGGAAAGAAAAGATTGAAGTGGAAATATCTTAATCTCATTCTCCAGGTTTTTATCAATAGTTCTCTTCCACATGACTTATTTATTCATTACATTTTTATTTCATCCTTCTTGCAAAGAGCTCATGGTGATATATATGATATATGATATATATCATTCATCTGTTTTATCTTTACAACAGCCCTGTGAGGTAGGCCAGACTGAGAAAAAGTGGCTGATCCAGGTCACCCAGTGATTTTCATGGCTGAGCAGCTGAAGAGCTCTTGAATTACTGTTGGGAGTTTGTTTTGTTTAGAGTGAACTTTGAACCCAGTTCTCCCTATTCCTAGTCCAAAACTTCTAACCGTTACACCACAATGGCTCTCTCTGATAAATTTTTGTTTGCTATGATTTGTACTCAATTGTTGTGATTACTTTGCTGCACTGATGGTTGTGTTAGCTGGGATGATGGGATACAAATAATACATAAGGGTCTTGCTGAAACCATAGTTCTTGACCTTCGGATGCTGCCTAACCCTGCTATTCTCCTCTCTTTTATCTCTCAGCTTAAACAACATGACTTCAGGGAGAAATTCCGAGAAGATGCCCCCTTCACGTTTGTTGATCCAGAACCATATAAATCTCTAAATAAGGTAATCTAAGAACAGATGGAAAAGTCTATATGGGCAAGGCTTATGTCTGTCCAGATATCACCTGCTATAGCACAACAGGTGTGGTTTTAAAGCATAGACAGAAAACAAAACAGCATTCTTTAAAAAAAATCAAGATGTTTTGGATCAGTGGTTTCCATTTGTAAGTTTGCATGTGCATGTAGTCACAAAGAGAAAGAAGAGCATATGGTATGAACCATGCAGAACTTCTGTGGAGCAGATGCTAACCTAAATTACAGGGTAGACTCCTAACAGCACATTACAACAGCACCCCCCCCCCAGAGGGGCTAACCAAATTATTGGCCTTTGTATGTTGGTATTTACATAACTTTATTACACTAACACATGCACAGGGCAACTAATTCTCCATCTCCACCCTAAACTCCATCAGCCAGCAGAAACATCTATATTCAGCTGCTGGAAACATCTAGTAATGCCGTTTTGTTTTTTACTTCCAGCAACAAAAAATGGTCACTGCTATGGAAAGAGAGATGGAAGCCTTATCCAAATCTGCAGGCTTGTTTGAAGTATCTGTCCCAGATTACAAACAGCTGAAGGCATGCCATAAGGAAGTGCGTTTGCTCAAGGAGCTCTGGGATATGACTGTTTTGGTAAGACTTTGAACTTGCAGTTTATAGGGAAAGTTGAGTGATGAGGCATTGTTAGGGTACAAGGAACTTGCACCAATTTTTTTCAATTCTGTGACAAGGAAATGGAAAGAACGAAGTCAGTCCCTCACTGTTTTTTCACATGTTAATTATTATTTCCATGCAGCGTGCTTACTTTGCAAAACTCTGGTTGCAAAAGTTACTCACCCTTTTAAACAGAATTTGAATCTATAATAGGGACTGTGATAACAATGGGCAGTGGGGAATGGAGTTTCGGGTAAAAAATAACATGAGATGGCCTTGGTAAAAAGGACAGGAAATGATTCCCAGATACTTTCTACTCCCAGCTACTGTCCCAGTCAGAATTATTTCATGTTCCGCTATAGGTAGGGTTGCCAAGTCCCTCCTGACCACCAGCAGAGGATGGAGGGGTAGGATTGCCATCTTCAGGATGGGAAACTCCTGGAGATTTGGGGATGGAGCCTAGGTAGGACAAGGACTTCAATGGTATATGATGCCATAGAGTCCCCCTCCAAAGCATCCGTTTTTTTCCAGAGGAACTGATCTTTGTAATCTGGAGATGAGTTTTAATTTCTGGGGATGTTACACGGATTGCCTGGGTCTGATTACGGATGTGCAGGGCAGTACATGTGTACAAGGGTTCTTTATACTCTATGTATATGAGGGTCAAATCGCAAAAGATACCACTGGAAGGAAGAGATCTTTTGATTGAATAAATGGAGTTTTTATAATAAATAAATGCAAAACTCATGCTACTCACTCATGCAAAAACAATAACAACAGATCAACACACACAGAGCTAGGAAACAGAGAGGTGTTGGTTTTAGATTAGGGCAATATTCACCTGATCCTGAAGTCCAGAATCCATGTGGAAGAAAGAGGACATGGCTGGCCGGCAGTTCATGTCAAAGGCTCAAAGTCTGAGGGTACACTCTTATGGGCACCTCAAGAGCTGTACAAAGGTTGAGGCATGGAGTGCCAGTTTAAATATTTTGAGGGGAGCTGGGGTGGGCTGGCCCAGGATGTAATGAGTAGCTAGATTAAGTTGGATACATGCAGGATGCTTGGCTTGAACTTCCAAGGTTGGGAAAGTCAGTGGCTCGATGTGGAGTGGGGAAATTACTTCGAAGGAGACAATGCAATTTACCAAGGTGGTGCCGTGATCAGAGGAGATGGGATTAGGGATTAGTTTGGAGAGGCTGGCTATCTCTGTTGATTGTATCGGTCCTGTGTACGTGCTTGCTCACACTACTCCTGTTTGGTTCGGTTCCTCCTGAGCCTGTCAGGCTGGTTCAAAATGGAGTCTTTTCTGGCTCCCTATTGCCTGCTTGTGACAGACCAATGTGGGGTGTGGGACCCTGGTCTTACTGCCTTTCTGATTGCCGGGTCCCTCTGAGTCTTTTGGAGAGAGTGAGTTTAGCACAGGTATGTCTGGGAAGGTAACAGGGATCCCCAAGTCCCACCTGGAGGCTGGCATCTCTGACTATAGATATTCTGTAGCTTCAGATGTTATCTACACACATTTGCTGTGTTAAAGGTTGAGTGTTCCTTGGCGGAAGCACCCATATATCCATGAAACAGTAAATAAGTATTGAGTATTTGCAGTCCTAGGGCAAGGGGGCAAGGGCAAGGGGGGAGAATCAGCAGGCACACCTTGAATTTAAAATTTATTTATTTATCAAATTTATACCCCACCCTCCCAGCTGTGGCTGGCTCAGCTTTTTATTGAATGCAGAGCAGGAGCACTGAGACCTCATAAGGCACAGATCCAAGCATCAGGTGACTCCACCTGTTGGCTGATGCCACTAACCAACTCCCCAGCCCGCCTGCTGTGAAAGCAACATGGGATGGCAAGTCCAGGGGTCCCCGTTCATCGCCCCCAGCTCTGAGGCCACAAATACAGCCCCAGTATTATTCTGAGGGCCATCATTTGCAATAGGAACCACCTTCCCCTGCCACAATGACTGGAGATTATGTGTAGCTTTGACATTTTATTTTCCTTTCTTACAATGAATTTTTTTCAATGCTGTATTATACTATCTGGTACAATGGCACATGTCCTTTTTTATTAATTTTTTCTTAAGTGTGGAAGAGCTATGACCTTTGTGGTGAAAGTTATGAGAATATCACACAGTACTTGTACTTGATAGAGGGGTATTACTAATAAAAAGATTAATAATTAGTTCCATTTTTCCCTGTCACCTGGACTTTATTACCCAGAGCTCTTTTTGTAGAAAAATCCCAGCAGGAACTCATTAGAATAATAGGCCACACCCAACAGCAGAAACTCATTAGCATATTGGGCCACACCCCATGTTACCAGAAGTGTGGTCATCCAGCCACACCCACCTTTTGCTCCAGCACAAACTAATTTATGCAATAGCCAAATCTCTCACTCACAAGTGTAATGCCAGCCGCTCACAGAGTCGAATTTTTGCTCACAAGACTCCACAGCTTAGAGGGAGCATTGCCCAAGGGGCTGACCTCTTCCCTCCCGCCTGCTTACCTTCATTCTCGGCAGCTGGACAGGCAGAGGAAGGAGAAGCTGCAGCTGAGCTGGCAAGGGAGTGCCGGGGGCTGGGCCTGTCCCTTGCCTCGCCTTGCCTCCCCTCTCCTCTCCGACCCTCTGGGCCAGGCCAGGATGTGTGAGCACTGGGTGAGCAGGAGGAAGAGGCCTGGCCCCAAGCCAGAGGAAGCAGCAACGGAACGTGCACGACCACACGTGTTGCTCCCAGTGCTCTGCTTGGTGAGTGGAGCAGGGCTTTTGGCGAGGGAGGGGCGGGGAGGGGCAGGCTCGGAAGCCAGCCAGAACGCCATTCCAGTGCGTTCCACCCCAAAAATAGCCCTACATTCTGTTTTACTCTGTGGTGTTAAGTTCATGGAACCTTTCAAGATATTCACTGTAGAATGTTTACTCATTTTTGCTCTCAGAATAGAATATGAAAAGCATTTTTATATGTCCAATTAAGGTTAATGAAAGCATTAATGATTGGAAGACCACCAAGTGGAAAGAGATTAATGTTGAACAGATGGATCTTGATTGCAAAAAGTTTGCTAAGGATGTGAGAGGCTTGGACAAGGAAATGAGACCATGGGATGCTTTTGTGGGACTTGATAACACAGTTAAAAATATGATCACGTCCCTCCGAGCTGTAAGTGAACTCCAAAATCCAGCTATTCGAGACAGACATTGGAAAGAACTCATGCAAGCCACCCAGGTAACCTATACAGGCCGCAGTCATGGCATAAAATTTATGTCTATATAGTATTAGCTATGTGTGGCCACTATCTGTGGATATCTAAATCCACAGGTTGGGGCCACAAGGAGGCTAAACAGATTTTTCTGCGACCTCAAGGCACCCTCTAGGTTTGCAGAAAAATCTTAAATCTTTAAAAAACTATATGGGGGAGGTAATTCCCCCACGAGGAAAGTAGCATTCCCTGCATAGCGCAGAGAATGCACTCACCTCCAGTATTCATTGGTGGTACAGGGGAGCTGCACTGTGTTCAGTGGTGGCAGTGAAGCTGGGAGCCTCGCTGGGCCTAGTGACAGCAGAGCCCAGGAGCTGGCCACCAGCAGCAGTGCAAGCCATGAGTTACACTGGGCCTGAGAGTTGGGAGGGAAGAAGGAAGCCTCGGCGAGCCCGCCTGGAGCAGCTCTGGGCAAGCTGCTGAGAGCAGGGGGGGGGGAGGCAGTGGGCCTGGCAGCTGCAGGGCAGCCCAGTAGCCATGCTGGGCCTGGCGAGACACTGGGGGGGGGGCGGGGGGGGCCGGGGGGGGGGGGGGAGATGGGATTCCCCCACTTGTTCATTATATTTTTAAATAATAATGTTGGTACTCTACTGACTAAACTAAGAGGCAACATACAAATAAACTAAAATGCACAAATACATGTAAATACAATAAACGTTAAAGTCACACCACACTAGAAAATACAAATACAAATCAACCAGATTTATGCAAACATTGGTCCTTCAAACTTCTTTATTTTAAAATCTGAGAAATTCTGTAGCCATAGGTCAGTATAATCTTTTACAATCAGTATTTCCATTATCCAGCTTTTCAGACGTCCTTATGTTGGGTAAACAGTGTTGTGCTGTATGGCAAAGCCTTTCTAGAATGTTTTCTAGACAGGGCAAGTGCTCAGCATTGTTTCTTCCTCTTCTCCCTGCAGCCTGCTGTCCATCCAGAAACCTCTTCCTGAGGTTTGTATAAAGCTAGAGGACACTGTGGGATACAGCAGGGAAGGGACCTGCAGCCAGAGACGAAAATGCAGAAATCCCTCTTGTGAAAAGTTGTGGTGATTTGCTGCAGCTGCTCACGTTGCATCCAACTCTGTTCCCAGAAGTCCCCTGATCAGCACAGCTTTTAGAAGGAACCAAGAGTTATTGGGGAAGGGGAAGAAATCCATTCTGTGAGCCTTTTCCGTCCATGGTTCATAGAATCTGTTCCACTGAGTTTCCTTAATAAATATTTACACCTCTTCAAAAGTAATTATGCAAGTATTTCATAAAGTTTTAAGGTTCTAAATTTGCATCGAAAATTCCACAAAAATATGTTTAGAAGAGAAACAAATTACAATGTATTATTTAAAAATTTCACAGGTGTAGTGGCACCATAAAGATTAATGCAATTTTATTCTAGCATAAATTTCCATGGACTAGTATTATACTGGAATAAAGTTGTGTCACCGTTGAGCCTGGGCTGTTTTGGGTAGGTAATCCCATGGTAAACTGGATATAATGGACTTCTAAATTAGTGGTTGGGACACATGTGAGTTTTGGAGTCCACCTGCTGAGTCACATGTCCCACAGAGCAGCTATTTTTTTTTTTAAGACCTGCTTCTTTTGTATGTTGTCTGAAATGGCTAGAATGAATCAATATTCCAGTCTGATTCACATTCGGTTGTGTAACAGGTAAACTTCACAATGTCTGATGAAACAACATTAGCAGACCTACTTCAGCTAAATCTTCATAAATTTGAAGATGAGGTTCGCAGTATTGTAGACAAGGCTGTAAAAGAGTCAGGAATGGAGAAGGTAAGATTTCTGTCATGCCATGTTCATCCATTATTTAATTTAAATCAAAATTGTGTGTGTGTGTGTTTCTCACTTCTCTAAAAATGTCAGAATATGATACTTCATTTCCTATCTTTGGGTGAAGATGTTTTTTGTTGGCAGAGACTTTTTAGATCTATTGTGTTTTTCTCTTCCTGAAATAATTGTGTCCAGTCCAGTGACATTTCTTACTATGAGGAATGTGAGTAAACTTCATCAGTGAGATATGTCCTCTCTCTTGAAGGCTGACAAAACTCATACATTCCTAGTTTGTTCACACATAACACTGCCATTTATATTAGTAGTCAGCTACAGAATTATTGCCTTTGCGTAACTATACTCTGCATATGTTAGCATCATTATCTATGCATTCTGTATTCTTTGTCCATGACCAGGAAAGGTTAGGGTTAGGGTGTATACTAGTCCTCACGAAAATATGGAGGCTATGTCAAAGGCTTGCTTCCACTTGTGCTGTGTTGTTTTTTCCCCCATTGCAAAGGTTGTCCTCTACTCCAGAGCATATCCCTCCAGTATGGCTCCAAAGGAAATTAACTATGCAGTGAAAAACTGCCTCTGCCATGGACAAAGAGGGATGCAAAGAAGATCTAAGACATAATGTTTATTGTGTTTCTTTATTTACTGAATTTGGGCCCCGGCCACATGTGCCGGAAAATGCGGGGGGGGGAGCGTGGCTATTTGCGCCGTTGCATTCTGATACGCCGTTATGCGATCAGATGTGACGGCGGCGCACTGGGCTTTCGTCCTTTGGAATGCGCTGCAAAGAGGACGGCCGGAGGGAATAGGTGTGTGCCAGCGTGATCACACCGAACGAGTCCATCTGCAGCCCATGGCTTTTTAACTGCACATCTTTGGCAGCATGCCATGGGTTGGCCATGGGTGCGCTACGCTTGCCAAATGTTGCAGTGTGATCGTGCCCCGAAAATCCGCCCAGCATTTGTGCCTTTCGTGTGGCAAATTCTCTGTGTGACCGGGGCCATAGTGCTTTTATATTTAAGTATTTAAGTATTCAAGCACTTTACAAATAATTAAAAACAAAGTCATTAAAAAGTTCAAATGCAACAGTCATTATATAAATCAACAAGCGGCTTTCATCAAAGTGGCACAATGAAATCACCAAATTTATCATCAAAAACTGGTGAGAAAGTTTTCAACTGCCTCCTGAAAGTGAGCCAGATGGACAAACTTCCAGAATCAGGTACTTCTACAGGGTTCAGGTGCCTACTAAGAGTCAAATGAGGAATGATAGAGAATGTAGATCTCTTACACCATGTGGTGACCTAATTTGGATCAGGGCCACACAGGAAGGAAAGCAAGGGTTTACTCCTTCTGCTTGTGCATACTTTCACAAAACAGAACTGTGCTATTGTTAGCCCCTTAACAGGGGGGAAATGTCTGTTTTCTTTAAAAGGTTGCAGTAGTGCAGAGGCCCCCATTTCAATCAGCAAAGCCAAATGAGCTAGAAGAGCTAAGACCCTTCTCCCTCTTTCTACATGTCTCTGGTTGAAATAGTGGTTTTGTGAAGTTGTAATTTGACTTTGAAATTCACAAGGAAGAGCCAATAACAAATCACATCTGCTTTGAGCCTGATAGCTACCTTTTTTGTTAACATTGGGTTACCTCTTGTAGTAAATTGTTAGAGAATCATCTGCATTTGTTGGGTGTGTATATTGTACTATATGGTATCCATTTAAAACACTCTCTTGCTATTTTGTTTGAAGGTGTTGAAAGCTCTTGATAGTACCTGGTCAACTATGCAATTTGAACATGAGCCCCACCATAGAACTGGAACCATGTTACTCAAGTCTGATGAAGTACTGGTAGAAACCTTGGAAGAAAATCAAGTGCAGCTTCAGACTCTGATGACTTCTAAATATTTAGCACACTTCCTTCAGGAAGTCACTAGTTGGCAGCAAAAATTATCTACTGCTGACTCTGTGATAAGCATCTGGTTTGAAGTTCAGAGAACCTGGAGCCACTTGGAAAGTATTTTCATTGGCTCAGAAGACATTCGGAATCAGCTTCCTGAGGACTCTAAGCGCTTTGATTCTATTGACAAGGATTTTAAGGTGAGCAAGTCCTTCTCTTCCCTACTTCTCCCATGAAGAAACAGTTGTAGTCAAAGGGCTGACAAATCTTCTGTTTTACAGGAATTAATGGCTGATGCAGTAAAAACTCCTAATGTGGTTGAAGCAACAAATAAACCAGGTCTCTATGACAAGCTAGAAGCCTTGCAGAAAAGGTTAGAAATATGTCATGTTTCAGCCTAATTTTTTCAAAACACAAGTGTAAAATATAACTAGAGAGATATTTTGTGGGCTGAAGGAGCAAATCATACAGTCCATAAGAAATGTAGGAAAGTATTTCTGTTTTAATTTATTAAGGTAGAAGATCTTTCAACTCCAAATTTACCTTGGGAAAAGACCATTGTAGGAACTAGGCCACACTGGTGTGTCAATAAGGTATTTCTAAAATGGAATTTATATCATAATGGGGATATCAGTAGGGTTAAAATCTCCAGACTGGGAAATTCCTAGGGATTTGGGACTGGAGCCTGGAGAGGATGGGTTTTACGGAGAAGAGGGGCCTCAGCAGGGTGTAATGCCATGGAGTCCATCCTTCAAAGCAGCCATTTTCTCCAGGGGAACTAATAGGGTTGCCAACCTCCTCATAGTGGCTAGAGATCTCCAGGGATAACAACTGATCTCCAGGTAGCAGCAATCAGTTCCTCTGGAGAAAATGGCTGCTCTGAAGGGTGGACTCTATGGCATTATACCCCATTGAAGTCCCTCCCATCCTGAAACCCCATCCTCCTCAGGCTCCACCCCCAAAATCTCCTGGTATTTCCCATCCCAGAGCTGGCAACCTTAGAAACTCACCTCTGTAGTCTGGAGATCAGTTATAATTCCAGGAGATTTTGTGGCAGCCATTTGTGACTGCCCACACCACACTGAGTCAGAATGCCTGCAGACTCAAAAAGATTAGTGACCCCTGGCCTAGATTTTGACAACTCTGGACATTCTGTCAGAACTGGACTTCCTTGTATATAGGCCAGAAGATAAAATACCTTTTTATATACTAGGGAGCAATAAATGGTTGATAATTTTATTAGTTCAACTAGTTCTTTAATTGTACTTACAACTAGAATAATTCCTGAGAATGTGGGCAAGACAGTGAGAATCAAGGCGGCAGTGAAATGGATGAGAGTAGCTCACAGAAAAAGACTTGTATACTGTGTGCTAGATTTTGTCACTGTCCTTGATACGAGGCACCTTACAGTGTAATTCTAGGCAAGGATGGCAAATTTTTCTCTTCCCTGCTCCTCGTATTAAAACACACCTGTAGTAATGGGCTTAGACTAAAGTAATTCTGAATAGGATTGTACCCTTTGCTTGTTTTATCCATATCATGGAGATTATTCAAATATGCATGTGCATTCCTTGATTTATCATCACTTCATTACACCACACTAGATGAATCTCATCCGAAGGTATGAACTATCTCTGTAGGAAAGCATTCTGTTTGAGCTGACTTCAAGTGATATAAGAGTTCCCACTGGTGCTACTTGATCAGTGATAGCACATTCATTCATGCAAGTCATCTCTCTTTGTTCCACAACTAATGAGTTATGGACATGCTCATGGTCTTTGAAACATTTCTTATCATGCATCATATTTTTCCATACAGCCCTTGGTTTAATCCAATAACACAAGAATTCAACTGAAACAAAGCCCTAAGTGCAGTTACAGAATCATGCCCTTCTTCGTATTCATCCTTTACTACCATTGTCTCTCCCTTCCTTCTTCTCCCTTCCTGTTGTCTCCATGATTGTGAAAAATTGTTAGATTTTTTTGCTTATGTTATGCTGTCAAGCATCATGTATATTTGTAGTGCTGAATAAATAATAATATTACACACTAGGAGTAAGGCCTGTTGTGGGAAGAAACACAACGAGCTCTAGAAGGAAGCTCCAGGTGAGTGTCCTGGCTGTGGCTGGTGGGGTGGCATAGGGAAGGGGGAAATAGAGGGGCGGCAGAGGGAAGGGGAAAATAGAGGGAGGCAAGCCATGTTTATTTCCTTCTGCTTAGCTATAAGGCAGGGCTGTATCAAGTCATTTTGCAAGTGAGTAGTATGGGAGGACAGCCTCATGGTAACAGGTATCGTTCCCTCCATCCCTGACTTATGTTGATTTGGGGTTATGCAGTGGCAGCTAAGGTAGAAAACCACCTCCTCCTATGCCATGTCTTCTGGGTTCCAAGGGTCTAGAAAGCGGTTCCATAGCCAGTTACAGGGTTGCCAACTCTGGGTTTGGAAATATCTGTAATTTTGAGGGGTAGAGCCTGGGGAGGGCAGGGTTTGGGGTGGGGAGGGACTTCAGCAGGGTATAATGCCATAGAGTCCATTGCCCAAAGCAGCCATTGTCTTCAGGAGAACTGATCTTGGTCATCTGGAGATCAGTTGTAATAGCTGGGAAATTTTCTGTAGGGGAAATGATGTGCTGTGGCTGGGGAACACGGTGATTTCTGGGAGATCTCCAGGCCCCACAGGGAGATTGGCAACTCCAGTGACCATTTAAGGGAAGAATGGGATATGTATTTTACCTCAGAACACATTCAATGACTCCCAACAGCAGCAGCAAACTGTTTAGAATGTTAGAGGCAAAGGCCAATCAGGCCGCATATGCAAATGACTTCTGTGTTCCGACTGGCTATGGGGGGGAGAGGAACAGCAAACTGTTTGGAATGTTGGAGGTGGGACACAGGCAATGCAGCCAGTGGATAGGGACAGCTTCTGAGTGACACATCATGGAGCGAACTGATTTAGGAGCATGTGGAATGTTCAGAAAGTGTCACCCCACTTCACAATTATATATAAGGAGAGATAAAGCCAAAACAGCAATGCTTTCATTTGTTCTTTTCCTTGCCTGTTAGCTTAGCAATTTGTGAAAAGGCTTTGGCTGAATACCTGGAAACAAAGAGGCTGGCTTTCCCAAGATTTTACTTTGTATCCTCTGCTGATCTTCTGGATATTTTGTCCAATGGCAATGACCCTGTTGAGGTAAAATATGCACAGGAGGAGTGCCTTGGCTTCAGGCCCGTAGCTATAGTGGGGCGTCTTGAGGCTAGGCCCCCTGCCTTACTGGCAAGGCCCCACAACTTCCCATGTAGCCCAGGGTCCCCAAGTGGCAGCTGGTGCAGGGAAGAAGCCAAATATTCCTTTAATGTGATTAGCCAGTGCCCCCTAAGAAATTTAAATGCCACCCGACTTAAAAAATCCTGGCTACGGGCCTGCTTGGCTTTCTTCTGCTTTTTTAAATCTATAAATTCCAGTCTTTTTAAAAAAATCACTTTACAGAACAAGTGGCCCAGCTCATTGTAAAGTTGCTTCATATGCTGAATTCCAAGAACTATAAGATTGAAAGAGCTCATCTTACTCTAGAATATTCCCTTTTAAGAGCCTATGTCCTTCAAGCTTTCCACATAGTCTTCTTTTCTAAAACACTGGTATAGTTTCATTGTCCTCCACCTTTCCATTTGTATGCCCCTACAATTGGTGTGTTAATCTTGCCCTCTTCTTATTAAAGGTGTCTCGTCATTTGTCCAAGCTATTCGATAGTATGGCCAAACTGAAATTCAAATTAGATGCAAATGAGACGCCTCTGAAGATTGGTTTGGGAATGTACAGCAAAGAAGATGAGTATGTTGATTTTGACAAGGAATGTGACTGTTCTGGACAGGTTGGTTGATCTAATTAATGGTCAAGATGATCAGGTTGCCTTGCAGCATTGTTTGAAGCCACTGCATTGAGAAGACCTTTCTGTGTGGCTGAGCACATAGCACTGGAAATGGATATGCTTTTCATGATCTCTGTCACTTTGTGGGACAAGACGAGCCACTTTCTCACCCTCCCTTTTACTGTTGCTGCCACCAGCTTGGGTCAAATCCAGCCCCTCTCTGTTTTATGAGTCACCTGTGGCCAACACCACAGGGGTATATCACAGTAGCATGCCAAGGAGTGAAGGCAGGTGGGTAAGGACTTGTGCAGACTCTCTCTAATTAAACAACTGTATTTCTACAAGGCTAAAGCTCAGGGTACTACAAGAACAGATCTAGGTACACTAAGAAAAATAAACAAAATAAAGTTACTAACTAGGTGGTTACAATCCATGGTCTTTGTTAGTTGCCACCACACAGTCTAAGGAAATTTCCTTTTCCATGCAACAAAGTGCAGTACATTTGCCACATCAGGACTTATTTAAGAGATGATAACTGGCTTCCACACAACAAATTAGTAACAGATGAACATAGGTCCCGTTCACACTAGGCGATTTGGGCCGGAAGCGGGACAGTTCGGGGCCGGATCAAACCGGCGCGATCACACCACAACATCTGGGAAGCGTCTTGCTTCCGTGCCCGAACTGTCCCTTCCCCGCACAAATCCGCCACAAACTGAACCACCTACCTTAGGTGGTTCAAATGGACGCGGCGCGGCAAGCGGGGCGTTTGATCGCCGGCGCGTCCTTGCGCTGGCACAACCCCGGCCCGGATCCGAACTGCGCATGCTCCGACATGCGCAGTTCGGCCGGCTAGGCATCTGACCTGTGTTTTCTCCCCAGCGTTTGATCGTGCCGGGGATCCGTGGGATCCCGCCACGGCATCTCAACGTTGGCGCGGCTTTTAAAAGCCGCGCCTTAAGAGGCTTTTCCCCTGCCGTGTGGCAGGGGCCATAGATTATATTTTAAAAATCTGGAAATGTCCTTATAACTCGGCATTGATAGGTATAGAAGAAATTTTGAGTTCAGTGGCACCTTTAAGACCAACAAAAGTTTATTCAAGTTATGAGCTTTCATGTACACACACACTTCCTCAGATACATTGAAATGGAAGTTAACAGTCCATACATATAGGTAGAGGGTGAACAGCAAATTAGCATGTAACGTTGATAGGTATGTGTGAGAAGTAAGTATCGTAATCTGCAACATTAACTTGAAAAGTTTTGCACATAGGTGGAAGTTTGGTTAAACCGCGTGCTAGAGAGAATGCAAAGCACCTTACGCAAAGAAATTTCAGATGCTGTTGTGACTTATGAGGAAAAACCAAGAGAGCAGTGGCTCTTTGATTACCCAGCACAGGTCAGCAATGATCTACAGAGTAAAAATATTAATATTATTTACAGAAAGAATAGAATAAGTATCAGATCTGTTGCTTGTTGTTGTGGGTTGGTTGGTTGGTTTTAAAATGTGATTTTATTATGTATGCTTTAGTTTTTAGCTGCCTTGGTGGCCCTTGTATGGGCAGAAAGGCAGGATATACATTTTGTAAAATAGATAGATCTGATAATGAGCAAAAGTAGCCTGATGACACAGAGCCAGGGCCACTCAGCATTTTGGCATGTTTAAGCACTCAATGAAATTGCTGAGCAGTCGGGTTAGAATGGATAAAAAGAAATAATTCTTCATCGGCATGTCTTCTATGCAGTCCCACATGGGACTGCCTGAAGGCAGGCCTGCTGCGGGAGAAGGTTCCAAGAGCTTCTAGAAATATCAAATTGAGTGCTCCCCCTCCCCTCATTTTCCCCGCCCATTCAGTCACATGACAAGGGGAAGGGGCGGCATTATTCCCTCAGTCCTTTTCCTGCCGCTGTAGAGAAAGGATGTTCCTGAGCGTTATTCTACTACTTACCTCAGACTGTTAAAGTAAGACCAAACACACACCCCCCCCCAAAAAAACACCCCAAGCCTGTGCTGTTTTATTCAGACAGGCACCATGGCCCTGTTTAAAAAGTGCCAGTCCTATGGTACTAAAATGACTTCTAATGATGAACATTTAAAATTCCTCCTATGCCTTGGTGAGGGGCATAAAACTTTTTCCTGTGCGGCCTGCAGTCTGTTAACTCCTAAGATGAGACAGGACAGAGCCCTTCGGCTGAAGGCTGCTCTGTGGGAGCAATCTTTGGAAGCTCCATCTGATAAGGACTCCCCTCGAAAGACAGATAAAGCTCCCTCAGGAGCACTTGATAAGTCCCATCGCCCAAAGTAACGCTCAGCAGGGATGCCTCAGAGCTCTTCCACTTCTTCCCAGCCTCTGGTGAAAAAGATGAAGTTTAATATGGGCTAGGCAACTCCAGCAGCTCCACCACCTGACAAAGTGTCCCCGCTGATACCGCCACCGCCTCCACGAGGAGTTTTGGCCTCCAGTACTGTCGGTCTGCCAGCCGCACTCCCGCTTCAATGACAATGGCACTTTCAACGGTGACGGTGCTTTCTACAACAATGGCACTTTTGAGGTGACAGCGCTTCCGCCGTTGACAGAACCGGCCCTGCTGTCAGTGGCTGCTCCGTGATGATCGAGGTCAACATGACATCGAAACTCCACCTCTCGATGTTGTAGGTTTTCGGGGTCAGGTTCCAAAGGTTCTTGACGACATGAACTGCACACATCTGACTCCGTGAGGTCTCGTTCCTCACCAGATGACGTCGAGATTATTGAGCCACTGACATCAAAGGGCTCCCCTAGCCCCTGCTCTTCTAGCACTAGGAGGCTTGACACACCAGCTTGGGCTACCCTCCATCTTGGGGCCAAGTGCCTCCTTGGTTTATTCCTCCGTAGTACCACAGCAGTTGCAGTTGGAGTCAGCATTGCAGCCAAAGCCCAGCACCATGATGCCAAGAATCCTTTACTCGTTCAAGGTCTCATAAACGTTCTGCTTCTCCAGTTGGGCAAGGGGCACCCTGCATTCCCTTGGATCCTGTGCCAGATGCTGATTCAGATGTTGAGTCAGAAAGCATCTCTCTCCTTTCCCCTGATGAAGCAGTGGGGGACCAAAGTCTTGTATCTCCAACAGAGGACTTGAGAGTGTACTCTGAGCAGCTGCCAGGATGGTGAAGGCTCTGAAGATAGAGTACTCTCCACCAAAGCCATCCAAGGAGGATCCAGTGATGGACATTCTGTACTGTACTGATCTGGGGCCAGTTGCCATTCCCTTAGTGAAAGGGATTAGAGAAATTACCAAAAATACCTTGGCCAGGCCTTCCTCCAACATTTCTTCCACAAAGAAAGTGGAGAACTTCTATAAGATTAGAGAAGAGGATACTTATTTTCTGTACCACTATCCTCAGCCCAGTTCTATGGTAGCGGAAGTGATCCCTTCAAACCATACCAGGGGACCCTCCCTCTTCACCCCTGGATAAAGAGGGGAGGAAGTTGGATATATTAGGAAGGAAGATTTATTCTTCCGAGGCCTTGACCCTCAGGGTTTCTAATTTTAAAGCGATTATGGCTAGGTATCAGGTCCTTCTCTGGGACCAAATGACCCAATGCATAGATGCTTTGCCAGATGATAAGAAGGAGCAGGCAAAACAGGTCCAAACAAAAGGTTCTAAACGGGTTAAGCAGGAATTGAATGCTGCCAGGCATACAGCTGATGCAGCCAGTAAAGTTATTGCATCTGCCATAGTTTTGCACATATCTGCCCTCCCTCTTGACACCAGGTCTCGCATTGAGGACCTTCCCTTTGAGGGTAAGCTCCTTTTCAATGAGCAGACAAATGATGTCCTGGGGAGGGTCAGGAAGAACAAGTTTACTGCACAATCCTTGGGATTAGCTGCACAACAACCTACCACAACTAAACCAAGGTATTTTCCCAGGCACTTCCAGCAACCCTCTCTTGGTCGGGGATATAGGTTCCAATCCACCTCTTTTCCGACATACCGTGCAACAACAATTATCCAGCATGCCAGCACCAACCTTGCCAGCAGAACCAACAGAACCGTTCCCCCTGAGATTCTTCTTCGAAGGCTAGGCCACCACAATGAAGGTCTCCTCCTCTGTTCAGGGCATGCCTCCTTACTTTTTCTCACTATCGGTCTGTTATTTGTTCTGATGATTTGGTGTTAGACATAATAAAGTTTGGTTACTTTTTGGAGTTCAAACCTTGCTTTTATGAGGTGTCTGCTAAGTCCTGCATTGACACCAGGTTGGGTAGGCTCTGTAAGTAGTCCCTGACACAGAGGAAATGATGGGTTTTTATTCTAACTACTTTGTAATAAGGAGCTGCAGTGGCTCAAGTGGTTAAGATGCTGAACTGCAGGCTGGAAGATCAGTAGTGCAGCAGTTCGAGACCCGAGTGCCGCTCGACAGAGTGAGCTCCCATCTCTGGTTCCAGCTCCTGCCAACCTAGCAGTTCGAAAGAAATTGCAAGTAGATAAATAGTTACCGCTTCGGTGGGAAGGTAACAGCGTTCCATGCGCCTTGGCGTTTAGTCATGCCAGCCACATGACCATGGAGAAGTCTTTGGACTTCTTTTCGACTTGGAAACAGAGATGAGCACTGGAACCCTAGAGTCGGATTTGACTGGCTTTCGAGCAAGGGAAACCTTTACCTTTACTTCATAATAAAGAAAAAAGGTGGAGGTCACAGGCCTATTCTGGACCTCAGGGAACTGAATACTTACCTTGATGTGCATAGATTTCAAATGCTGTCCCTTGAGGACATTTATCCTGCTATTGCCCTACATGCCTGGTTTGCTGTGATTGATCTACAAGATACTTAAATCTTATTTGGCTGTTGTTACAGATTGCTTTAACATGTACTCAAATCTGGTGGACAACCGAGGTTGGCATTGCCTTTTCAAGACTGGAGGAAGGTTATGAAAATGCAATTAAGGATTACAATAAAAAGCAGGTATGCCACAAACCTCTGTACAATGGGTCTGCGAAGCAGCAAACTCTTCACCACCACAGTATATAAATTCTGTTCCCACAGCATTTTGCACAGTGTAATTTGAGCTCAGTCACTGAATGCTACCTCCTAATAATTTAATTTAATTATTGTTTTTTAAAAAGTCTCTGGTACTTTTGGCTGCAGAGATCAGAAAACTCTTCCATGCCATGTTTTCATTTATCTAGATTAACCAGTTAAATACATTGATCACACTCCTCATTGGGAACTTAACCCCAGGAGACCGAATGAAGATCATGACAATCTGTACCATTGACGTCCATGCTAGAGATGTCATTGCCAAAATGATTACAGCAAAGGTATAGTTTCTGTTTTTAAGTTTTAAAATAGGTTTTAAGTTGCTTGTATCCTTTCCAAAGAAAAACACTCTCTCTCTCTCTCTCTCTCTCTCTCTCTCTCTCTCTCTCTCTCTCTCTCTCTCTCTCTCCCGCTCTCGCTCTCGCTCTCGCTCTCGCTCTCTCTCTCTCTCTCTCTCACACACACACACACACACACACAAACACACTCCTATCAAGAGCCAAAGAAGAGGCAATGGCTGTTATACTGTCTGACTTGGGGGAGCAAAGTCTTTGTAAGATCTGAAATAGAAGGCCACTTGATCTATACCAGCGATGGCAAACCTTTTAGAGATCGAGTGCCCAAACTGTGACCCAAAAGCCACTTATTTATCGCATAGTGCCAACACGGCAATTAAACCTGAATACTGAAGTTTTACTTTAGAAAAAACAACTCATACATTAACGTAAGATGATCCAAACAAAGTAAGGAAAGCAATCCCAAATGCTTTCATTTACTTAAAATTATTTGGCAGAGAATTTGACACTTTAATGATGGTCTGGGCCTGGCTGGGGCGATGGCACGCACGCCCACAGAGAGGGCTCTGAGTGCCACCTCTGGCACTCATGCCATAGGTTTGCCACCACTGATCTATACTGATGCATGTAAAATAAAACTGAAGCATTGTTAAAGGGACAGTGGGTAACATTGTCCCATTGTAACAGAGGCCCTCTATGTCTAATAAGCTTATGAGGATGATGGAAAGGGGGAAAGGAGCAGCCAATGTGAAATAATATTGCAGTGGCTCTGTGTTTGGGTCACAGGTGGAAAGCTCCCAGGCCTTTACATGGCAGTCCCAACTTAGACATCGCTGGGATGATGAAAAGGGGCACTGTTACGCCAACATTTGTGATGCTCAGCTCCAGTATTCCTACGAGTATCTTGGCAACACTCCACGGCTAGTGATCACACCACTCACCGACAGGTATGAGCTGCATGCCTTTGTTAACTTGCATCTTGGTCCCATATACATAGGAAACCAAAGAGCAGATTAAATACAGTATTTTAGGGCAGATGAAAATGTGCCAACTTTCTCTGTTTTACAGATGCTATATCACTCTGACACAGTCCCTCCACTTGATCATGGGAGGAGCCCCCGCAGGCCCTGCTGGCACAGGAAAGACTGAGACCACCAAGGACCTGGGCAGGGCAGTTGGGATCATGGTGTATGTTTTCAATTGCTCGGAGCAAATGGACTACAAGGTACAGATCCAGCCAGTGAAAGTAACAATCAGTGTTCCCTCTAAGCTGAGTTAGTGTGAGCTACCTCACAGTTTTTACAAGGTACAGATCCAGCCAGTGAAAGTAACAATCAGTGTTCCCTCTAAGCTGAGTTAGTGTGAGCTACCTCACAGTTTTTTAACCTCCAGCTCAGGAGGTATGGCTCCAGAGCAAACTAATTTATGCAGTAGCCAAATCGCTCACTCACAACTTTAATGCCAGTAGCTCACAGAGCAGATTTTTTTGCTCACAAGACTCCACAGTTTAAAGGGAGCAATGGTAACAATGGTTCAGATCTTAGCCCTTGATTCAGTCAGTGACCTTCCTGTGCTCAATTCCTATGTGAGGAGCATGTCAAGCAGGAAGTTAGAACAGTGGAACTTGGGGTTGCCAAGTCGGACTCCACCCCGGATGACCTTCACCGGGCCTTACAGGCTGTGGCTGGTTGGCTCAGACTGAGCCAGTTGAAAGTAAACCCGGCAAAGATGGAGGTCCTGGGCCTAAGTCGGGTCGGTTCGGGGTTGGGGCTCCCTCTCCCGGCCTTCGATGGGGCGCTGTTGGTGCCGGTGTCGAGGGTTAGGAGTTTGGGAGTGCTCCTGGACTCCTCCTTATCGATGGAGGCCCAGGTGGCAGCCACTGCCAAGTCAGCCTTTTACCATCTTCGGTTGGCGCGGCAGTTGGTTCCTTTCCTTGACCACGACTTGGCCACGGTGATCCATGTGACGGTCACCTCAAGGTTGGACTACTGCAACGCTTTCTACATGGGGCTGCCTTTGTTGCAAATCCGTAAGCTGCAGCTGGTGCAGAATGCGGCGGCCAGGCTGCTGATGGGTCTCACTAGACAGGACCACGTCCAGCCTGTGCTGAAGGCGCTGCACTGGCTGCCTATAGCGTACCGGATTCGCTTCAAAGTGCTGGTTCTTACCTATAAAGCCCTTGATGGCCAGGGTCCAGCGTACCTAAGCCTTTCTCCATATGTTCCCCTAAGAGCACTACGGTCTTTCTCCATTTGTTCCCCCAAGAGCACTACGGTTGGGGACGCAGCACCTATTGTGGTTCCTGGCCCCAAGGACATCAAGCTGGCTGCAACCAGGGCCAGGGCTTTCTTGGCGGCGGCTCCTGTCTAGTGGAACGAGCTCCCAGAGCAGATTCAGGCCCTGCAGGACTTGGCGCAGCTCCGCAGGGCCTGCAAGATGGAGCTCTTCCGCCAGGCCTTTGCATAGGAGCTGCCGCTGTCATAGTACCACCACCGAGTTGCCATCTTCGACGGTGGATTAGACCTGGAGGTGAGCCAGCCCTGGACAGACACCTAGATGACCGAAGAACGTATGTTGTCAGGTTAGGTTTGACAAATGGAACCCATCTTGGACTAAGAAGATTTAACATCAAGAGCACCGCATTTTATTTAATGATTGTTTTTATGCTGTTTTAACTGTTTGTTATGGCATTTGCCTCTGTTGTCAGCAGCCCTGATCCCATTTGGGGAGGGCGGGGTATAAATCTAATAAATAAATAAATAAAAATAAATAGATAACTCACTGAAAATGTCGACTCAGTGTGCAACAGCAATAAAAAAGGCAAATGCTGGGGATTATTAGGAAGGGAATTGAAAACAAATCAGCCAATATCAGAATGCCCTTGTATAAATTGATGGTGCAGCCTCATTTGGAATACTGTGTACAGTTCCGGTCACTACACCTCAAAAAAGATATTATAGCATTGGAAAAAGTGCAGAAAAGGGCAACTAAAATGATTAAAGGGATGGAACACCTTCCCTATGAAGACAGGTTAAAGAGGTTAGGGCTCTTTAGCTTGGAGAAATTATGACTGAGGGGTGACATGATAGAGGTTTACAAAATTATGCATGGAATAGAGAAGGTAGAGAAAGAAGTACTTTTCTCCCTTTCTCACAATACAAGAACTTGTGGGCACTCAATGAAATTTAATAATAACAACAATAATAATGAGCAGTGGGCTTAAACAGATAAAAGGAAGTACTTCTTTATCCAGAGCAATTAACTTGTGGAATTCACTGCCACAGGAAGTGGTGGTGGCTACAAGCACAGACAGTTTCAAGAGAGGATTAGATAAACACATGGAGCAGAGGTCCATCAGTGGCTATTAGCCACAAGGTATAGATGGAACACTGTGTCTGGGGCAGTGATGCTCTGTATTCTTGGTGCTTGGGGAGCAACAGTGGGAGGGCTTCTGGAGTTCTGGCCCTGCTGGTGGACCTCCTGATGGCACCTGGTTTTTGGCCACTGTGTGACACAGAGTGTTAGACTGGATGGACCACTGGCCTGATCCAACATGGCTTCTCTTATGTTCTTACATTATGTTCATCGAAAACAATCAATGTAGTTTGTTTTTCATTATATTTTTCCAAGTATTCCAAAATGTCTAATACAGTTCTAACACTGTCTCTCAACTGTCTTTGAGGCAAAAATCCACTGTGATCTTCATTTATAAAATGCTGAAGAATTTTAAGTATTTCAGCTAATATTGTTGTGAACAACTTGTAATCATTATTCAGTAATAATATCAATCTGTAATTTCTTGTCAATGTCAAATCTTGTCCATCTTTAGGTATTGATATTATATTAGCATCTTTCCATGTCTACGGTATCCTTGCTCCTTGTAGAATAGAGTTCATCATGTTTTGTAAGGGTTGGAGAAGTTCATCCCCAAAACACTCCATGCCCTGTTGTTGGCTCTCCAGAGGAACTGGTTGGCCACTGTGTGAGACAGGATGCTGGACTAGATGGACCATTGGTCTGATCCAGCAGGGCTATTCTTATATTCTTATGTTCTCCAGGACCAGGTAGTAGGTACTGTGAAAGACCTCTGCCTGAGACCTTGGAGAGCTGCTGCCAGTCACAGTAGATAATATTGACCTTGATAGACCAGTGGCCTGACTCAGTAATGTATAAGGCAGCTTTATGTTTTTAATACTTGCTGCCTCCACCTCTGGTACATAGGGAGGAATTACAGTGGGGAAAATCAGAGGTGTCTTTGGACGTTTGAGCACACTAGCAGAGTTTAGAAACGTATATTAAAAGACTGCATTAAAAATGCCAGAAGTTGGTAATAACTTGCATAAAGGAAAGACAGTTCAAAATTGATGGAAAGCTTGTATAAAAGTTGGTGCAAGGTGATAGGGAGCTCTGTGCAGATGCACAGAAGCAGAGATCAGTTGATAGGGTTTTCAGTGACAGGCCTCCAAATGGCACCCTTCAGTGCTTGCTGCAAATCTAAGCAACCACAGGATATTTTTTTAGTTCTGTAGTCATGTGCAGTATGAAGTCATTTCGAGGGGAAACCCATAAGTGACCTTTAGGAGTAGCTGGGAACTCTATAGTTTTACCATAGAGTTTCCAGAAATTCCTAGAGTGATGTGACATCACTTCTGGGTTTTCCTGGAAGTAATGTCATGGCACACATGATGCTGCATGCCCCCCCATGTCCTCATCCCCCAAGCTCCTGCCAGTTGCCAAGAACAGCTTGACAAATCTGGTAGCTTGCGAACTTGCACTGGGGGAGCATCAGAACAACAGGTGCTGGCTTGGGATTTACTCACATTCTGCAAAAGTAAAAACTGCTGAAATTTGGCAAACAGTAGAACATTGGGCAATTGATTGAACATACTCATATGCTCCTTGATCTGTCCCTTGGATCCAGCCAGCACTGCTTGCTCTTCTTCTAAACAAGGGAGCATTTAATTGACAGCAGCACATCATATTGACATTGAACCCCATTGAACAATTCCAGAAGATGCACTCCTAAGTTTCCTGGGTGGGGTATTTTATAGATTTTTGCAAAATACCTATCCTTTCCACAGGATTGGGCATACTTTTGCATTGGGATTAACATGGACCACTCATGGGACTTCAATTTTATCTGAGATCGTGAACCTATAGAAAGCCTATATATGATTAGACTGACCAGCGAACCTCTCCATTCCCCTGTATTCTCTGATTCTTTTTTAAAGTATTTATAAATATCAGTTCCAAAGATAGCCACACATGCAGAGGTACCCTGGAGTTTTACATACTGAAGAACTGTACCTTATCCTGGGGGTATGCAACCCCATAGATCATAATACACAGCACACAGCTTCATACTTTCCCACTTGGCAGCCTTAATTATGCTATGTTATTTATTATGCTATACGACACCAAAAATATCCCAGAAAATAATATGCTGTGTATTCTTTACAAGAGTTCCTTTTCATTCCCCCCCCCCAATCAATTTCCATTTTGCACTATGTCTTTCTGTGGTTAGTGTTTTAAACTCTGGAGAAAAGCATTGTATAAATTGAGTGTATTACTCCATTAGTGTACTAAGATGACTCTAAGCATTACTTTTCCCTTTTCCTCCATAGTCCTGTGGAAATATCTACAAAGGATTGTCTCAGACAGGTGCATGGGGATGTTTTGATGAATTCAATCGGATTTCAGTGGAAGTCTTGTCAGTAATTGCTGTACAGGTAAAGAGTTTTCATCCTTGCCCACCTATTGTGCATAAATAAAAGGGGGTTCACAGTGCTTCTAGTTCTATTATTTCTTCTGTGTCTAGATTAGTGCACTCCTTTTGAGATTAATGTGTCAGTTCTGAAGGAAGGGTGCAACTGTCACCCTTGTGATGGTGCCAGGATCTCTTCCATTTTGAGTTTATTCTTTGCTCTGCTGCAGAACAGAAATGCTGTGGGTAGTCCAGGGAAAGTCTATTTCATATCTGTTCTCTAATATACTTCATAGTCCTGTGGCCTGTCTAAACTGCTTTACACCAACAAAATCTTAAGGACAAGAGTGACCCTATTTTCTGTAAGTAAACATTATAGACAAAAAATGGTGTTTTCAGGATGCCCCCAAGCCCACATTTTGGTTGCTTTTGAATGACCATTGCTTAATCATTTATTAAGCCACTTATTAAAGCTTATATGTGCATGGTTCCCAGCCAACCAGGGATTACAGTATCAATATGATGATATCCCAACAGCACAGTGATGCCACATAGACTCAGCTATATGATGATGTCATTGTCAGTTCAGAGAAAGGGCGGGGAACATTGCCCTTACTCTGCAATAGCTTTGTGAGAGTACCATTTAGGCAACCAAAATATATTATCTATATTTTATATTTAAATATTCTGGATTTTATTATCTTTTTGCAAACCTCACACAGGACTTTCTGTTCATTGTTTAGGTTAAATGTGTTCAAGATGCAATTCGAGCCAAAAAGAAGACATTCAACTTTCTTGGGGAGATGATCTCTCTCATACCAACTGTCGGGATGTTTATTACTATGAATCCTGGATATGCAGGTCGTACTGAGCTGCCTGAAAATCTTAAAGCGTTGTTCAGGTATACAGGAATTATTTTGGAGAAATAAAACTATACTAGATGATCAAAAGGATACATGAACTTTTGTTCCTATTGTTGTTCAGAAAGAAGACCAGTAATAGGAGATAGAAACAAGTACAGGGGATTATGAATGGTTTTATGAAAGGGTGGTGAAGTAAGGAGCCTTAAGAATCCTTGAGGAAAATAGTTTCAGAGGGTAGCTGTGTTGGCCTGCCACATAACAGTTAGATTCAAGACCCAGGAGCACCTTAGAGACCAACAAGAGTTTCAGGGTATGAGCTTTCGAGAGTCAAAATGAAGGGAGCTTTGACTGTCAACATCTCATACCCTGAAAATCTTATTGATCTCTGAGGTGCTCCTGGACTTGAATCTAGCTGGAGGAAGATATGTCCTCTGAGAGTACTTGGCAAAGGAACTAAAGTGCTTATGTGGAGGTGAACCCTCCAAGTTTAAAAAGGTGAGCTGGGGTGCTTGGTTCAATGATAGCATAGATACAGCAGACATTTCAGAAAGCTGATAACAATATCAGTGGGACATTATTATCCCTGGATATATTATTTATTTATTTATTTATTTATTTAATTTATATCCCGCCCTCCCTGACAGGGCAGGCTCAGGGCGGCTTACATAGAATGTATTGAACAACTAAAATGGAAGAATTGAATAAAATCACAACAATATAGTTATAAAAACATAACATAAAGTGCTAGTACAGTTCGTATAACAATGGTGGGCATTAGCAGCATCCAACATAGGCATACAGTCAACTAACATCGTAGTCTGGATTATATCAGTGGAGCTCAGGCTGTTAATAATGTTGTAAATATTGGGGCCGGGGCTTCAGTTTATTGGGTGTGGCTCCCTAATCAAATGCCTGGTAGAATAGCTCCATCTTGCAGGCCCTGCAGAACTGTAAAAGGCCCCGCAGATCCCTGATGTCTTCCAAGAGCTCATTCCACCAGTACAGAGCCACTACTGAGAAGGCCCTGGCCCTTGTCACAGCCAGTTTGGCTTCTCTGGGGCCTGAAGGGCCAGACAGTTTTGGGACCCCGATCGTAGTGCTCTCTGGGGAACATCTGGGGAAAGGCGGTCCCTTAGGTATGTAGGCCCCTGACCATATAGGGCTTTAAAGGTAAGAACCAGCACCTTGAACCAGATTCAGAATGCTATAGGCAGCCAGTGCAGTCCTTTTAGCACAGGCTGGATGTGCTCCCGCATAGGGAGGCATTCTGCACCAGCTGCAGCTTTCAGATTTGGGACAAGTGCAGCCCCATGTAGAGAGCATTACAGTAATCCAGTCTCAAGGTGACCATTGCATGGATCACTGTTGCCGGGTCATTGCGTTTGAGGAATGGAACCAACTGCCTAATCAGCCAAAAGTGGTAGAAGGCTGACTTTGCAGTGGCTGCTACATGGGCCTCCATCATTAAGGAGCCCCTAATCTCTAGTGCTAGTGCCAACGGTGCCCCATCGAAGGTCAGGAGTGGGATCCCTAACCTTGGGCCACTCCAACTTAGGCAAAGGACCTCTGTCTTCATCTGATTCAATTTCAGTTGGCTCAGTCTAAGTCAACCAGTGTCACGGCAGGACCAGGGGGCGTGACACAAGCAAGCAAAAGTCCAGGAGCAGTCCGAGGTCAAGCCGAGCAAATCAGGCAGCAAGGTTCAAACAGGTTTAAGTCACAGTCCAAAAGCAGGGTCAGACATACCAGAGTTTCAAGTCCATAAATCACAACGATACCAGAGGAGTCAGAGATGAACAAAGGGTCAACGAAGCCGAGGGTCAAAAGCCGAGGATCAAGCCGATAAGAATTCCACAAGGTCTGGAGCAGAGATACAATGATTCAGGTCCTGACAAACGACGTTTGCCAGCACAAATGACTGCCGGTAACAGACTTGGAGATATACAGTGCTAGCTAATTAACTCATTAGCTAGCAGGGAGCGAGGTCAAGATCCTGTCAATATTCAGGGCTAAGAGATCTTCTGGCACGCATGCGTGTGTTCTGTCTTTGCTCTCTCAGCTGCTGTCTCCGTACATTCCGGAGCCTGGTTACAGGTGGTGGTGAGTCTGATGACGAATTACTGGGATGCAGCAGAGACTGATCCCTTGCAGGTGTTCCCTGGGAGGCTCTATCCTCCTCACCACTTAGATAGCTTTCTGCTACAGGATCCAGTCTTTGCCTCTCTGCTGCAGTACTGTCCTCAGGAGCCTGTAATTCCACAGGCTCCTGGCTGGCAGGTGCCTCCTCAGGGGCATCAGCAAGGGCAGGCATGACATCAGCAGGGGCAGGCATGACAACCAGCCACAGCTTTCAACATTAGGTCCAGATCTTCCAGACTAGAGTCAGACTGGCCACCCAACAACAGATAGAGCTGGGTGTCATCTGCATATTTGTGACAACTTAGCCCATGGCTCCGGGCAATCTGGGCAAGGGGGCGCATGTAGATGTTAAATAACATTGTGGAAAGCACTGCTCCTTGGGGCACTCTGCAAACTAGCGGGTGCCTTCGGGACAGCTGTTCCCCAATGGCCACCCTTTGTCCCTGACCATGAATCCCAATGTCGGGGAGGCGGTGGATCAGTAGTTGGTAGCTGACCGTGTTGAATGCCACTGATAGGTCCAACAACAGCAACACTGCCGAACCACCCCAATCCAGATGCCTCCGAAGGTCATCCGTGAGGGCGACCAGTGCCATCTCCATCCTGTGGCCTGGTCAGAAGCCGGGCTGGAAAGGATATAATACGGAGGTGTCATCCAAAAAACCCTGCAACTGAATTGTCACCGCCCTCTCAATTAATATAAACAATATAGGAAGGACTATTTAGAGTGTGGGTGAATCTCTTTATCAGAGGAGGCACAGAATCCAATAAATTAGTATTAATATTTCTTAATACTAAAGATTCCACCAACATAATTGCTATGGGTTGAATATTGGACCCGAAAGGTAATTTAATATTGGGAACACATTATCACCTGCCTGACCAAAAGTTGGAGGGTGAACTTGAAAAGAGCCCTGTTTATAAGCATGTCAGAGGTAGAGGTGTGCTGGGGGGGGGATCAATATTTTTCTGATTTGGGTATAATGAAGCTGATATTTTTGGTATTCCTGAATATAACCAAATACCAATACCGGTAATGTATTGGTGGCCAGAAGTATTCAGGAATACAAAAAAAATTGGCTCCATTCAGTGGGCTGAGGGAGAGGGGGTTTGAGGTAGAGGCACCAGATTTGTACTGTAGCTGCTGGAGCCTCTCCCCAAAAGAACCCCCAAATTTGGAAAAGGTTGAACCAGGGGGTCCAATTCTAGGGGAATCCAAAGAGGGTGCCCCATCCTCCATTGTTTCCAAAGGCAGGCAGATAAAACAACAGCCCAGCAGTTTCTCCCAGAGAATCTCTGCAGTAGAAACTAAGTGAGGTGTGGTGTGAGGGGGCTTGTTTGCAATGCCAGCATCAGCACCAGTGCAATGTGCCCACTAGAACCAGTGCCACTGTGGCAGTGCCAAAACCCAACAGGACTAAGATCAAATCTGGGAATCTCTGAAGTATAGGGAGCATGTTTGCAAGGCCAGCAGCAGAATCAGTGCAGTGTTCTAGTGCTAGTACCCAGCAGCAGAACCCAGTGCCAACCTACCTATCAACAGAACCCAGTGCCAACCTGCTAGCTGAACCCAGTGCCATTGTGGCAAATGCCAGCTCAACAGGAGGACTGATGTCAACTTAAGTATAGAATCATTACAACAACAATACACAGAAGAATTTCAAAAAAGAACAAACTTCTGTGATTGGACAAAGAACAGTGTACCCACTCTTTGCAAGCTGCAATGCCATTTGCAAATGAATTGAAGTGATTGGCTGTATGTAAGGTTCCTCTCCCCCCTCCCTTCTGGAAAGCAGAATGAAGGGTGAGAAAGAGACAGAAATGGCAGGAAAGAGAAGGTAAATGCACCCCTTTAAAGTTTAACACCACCCCAAGCCTGTATTTGGTAATGCCAGATAATGCTGAATAAAAGCTAAATAGTTTTGGGTTTTATTTGGCATTCTGTATTCAGCAGCCGAATTTTGAATCTGATCTGATTTGGCTTGCTGAATACCCGAAAAATGCCAAAAAGGAAGGGGTGGTGGTGGTGGTTCAGCTTTACTGAATACACACCCCTAGTCAGAAGCACTGTGTGAAAGAGGATGCTGCAGTCTTCTGTTCTTAATTAACACTTTTTACATAGTTATAAAGAACAAAGAGTTGGACTACCAGCTTTCACAGACTGAGTTTGGACTACCAGCATAAGAGCTATCCAAGCAGATTGTGGCTTGTAAAAACAAGACACAGCCAAGTGTTAATGGGAACTGAATTTGTTTTGCGGCTTTAGGTTGGAGCAGTTAAATTTAATTAAAACTGGCATTTGGAGTGAACATTCATTGCAACATAAACTAAAGACTGACTGCTGTTTCTCTGGCTTCATCATAACACAAGCTATGTAACTTTTCTTTTGTTTAGGCCTTGTGCAATGGTAGTTCCTGATTTTGAACTTATCTGTGAAATCATGCTTGTGGCTGAAGGTTTCATTGATGCCAGGCTTCTAGCGAGGAAGTTTATTACTCTCTATACACTGTGTAAAGAGCTGCTTTCAAAACAGGTAATTTAACATTGTTCCACAGGCCTGTCTTCTAAGAACATTTTAGAGCAATAAAGAGTTTCATAAGCATGGAGATTTGATAGCCATTTCAGCAAAGTAGCCATGCTGTGTTCTTGCTCCTAGCCTCCCTGCCAATATAGAAATGCAGCAGGACTGTACACCTGTAGAGTCTTAGGCTTAAAAGCCCCGTAATCACTGCTGCCGCCTCCTACCTTTCATCTCACTATGAATTTTTTGCTTTACACAATGTCCTTTTACCCACATGCAATGCTAAGATAATTCCATCTGTCTGACAGGATCATTATGACTGGGGGTTGAGAGCTATCAAGTCTGTGCTGGTGGTGGCTGGCTCACTGAAGAGAGGAGACCCAGGCCGAGCTGAAGACCAGGTCCTCATGAGAGCTTTACGAGACTTCAACATTCCCAAGATTGTGACAGATGATTTACCTGTGTTTATGGGACTCATTGGAGACCTTTTCCCAGCACTAGATGTGCCTAGGAAGCGTGACCTAAACTTTGAAAAGGTGAAATTGATGCCTTTGGTTGGAAAAAAGAGCTTGGGAACAAAATGCTGATTCTTACCTGTGTAATGAGTTGTGGAGTTCAGGCCTTTGTTTTCTCTGCAACTTGAGTGAGGGGAAATTTGCTGTCAGGGAACCCTTTGGACAAAGAGTCAATGAGAAAGCTTTTCAGGCTTTTGCAGGAGGAAACAAGGGACCACTGTCCAAGTAGTAATGTCTTAAGCTCTTACGTAGAGCATGGTTTCAGTGGTGTCTTGCCAGCCGTGAGACTGAGGTACAACCTTCCTAATCAGTATACCGCACCTGTGTGGCATATTTAGGGGTGGGATTTAACACTTTTTTTGTCTTGTCAGATTATCAAGCAGTCCATTGTTGAGCTCAAGCTACAGCCTGAGGAGAGCTTTGTTCTGAAGGTGGTACAGCTTGAGGAGCTACTCCAAGTCCGACACTCAGTATTTGTGATTGGAAATGCAGGCAGTGGCAAATCCCAGGTGGGAGCTTTGCACCAACAGTACTTTAGAGGTTCCTTGGTTAAGAATACTAATGAAGGCTTATGACTTCTGATATTTTTTCCCTTAGACATATTTTCACACAGTCTCTAGAAATATTTGTGATTAGAAAATATTGATGTATATCCAGCCATCCACAGATTCACTAAGCAAGAGTTTCTTGTTCTCTTTTCCCATTGCAGCACACTGAACACTGAGCCCCTGAAATTGTATCACTAAGGGATCAGGGATCTCAAGAACAGTATAAGGAGCAAAAGGGGAGGGGAAAGCATCAGAAATTGCTACCCCTCTTTCAGAGACTTAATTGCCATGAAGTTTTCAGAACTGTTCAGCTGGATAGAGCACATGCCATTATGTACTAGACCCCTGAATGTACCACCAATTGGAGGAGCCTCAGTTAGGGCTACACCAGATAGTTGTCTCCTATCAGCCAAGCTGCAGATTCAAGCAGTCTCTTGAGTTGAGAGAACTGGAAAGCAGCACTTCCTCAGCCCCAGTACAAGCATTACTCTCCTTAATCCTTCATTGCTTCTGTCCCCACTTTCCATTAATTATCTCCCTTATAAATAAAAGCCGAATGGTGGTGGCACTTCTCTAGAACATTCCACGCTCCGGAATTGGTTGGCGCCCTGGTGTGTCACTCACAGGGCATCTCTCTCCATTCGCTGTGCTGCTGCCTGTGTGGGTGTCCCCCCTTTTGCCCTCAGTTTCCTTCGAGCCGCAGCCCGGGTCGAATGCTCCACTGGCCAGACACCCTCACTCGGCCTTCAGGCCCCAGACGGGGCCATGCCATTGCTGCTGAGCTGCAGCAGCCAGGAGCCACCACCAGCCCTATCCATCGGCTGCGTCGCCTAAGTCCCACCCTAGAACACGGACACCGCAGCCCTGCCTCTGCGCCCGGTCCCCTCAGAAGACAGACTATTGCTGACAGGGTGAGTGGAGCCTTCGGGGGAGCAGTTGAAGGGTGGCGACGGCAGCGCTTCACCGGCTGCTGCAGGCCCGTTTTCGCCGCTCCTCCCCCAGCTTTGCAGCCCTTCAGGGGAGCAGTTGAAGGGTGGCGGCGGCGCTGAGCCGCCCGCTGCAGGTCCGTTTTCGGCACACACCCCTTCCAAGACCTTCAGGGGAGCAGTTGAAGGGTGGCAGCAGCGACGTTGAGCCAGCCACCGCAGTTTCGTTTGCCGCCTTCGCAGGTCATTGGAAGCAGCAGTTGAAGGGCGGCAGATATTTGGGAAAAGATGTCTTCCCCATCAGCTAGTGACTTGTAGCCAAGCTGATCAAAGGATTCAACATTATCATGTCATGCTAAAAGTCAAAATAAATGCTAGGGAATGGGGCATGTTGGATCTATCCTTCATGTTATATACTTTTCTTACAGAGTTATGTGACATTGGGCTAGGAGGACAGTGTACAGATTGAGCACTTCTGTTATCTGAAGCATTTAGAGAAAACAGTTCCATCTCAGTCATTGTCTTTGTCTTGTCAGGTGCTGAAATCCCTAAATAAAACATACCAACTTATGAAAAGAAAGCCTGTAGCTATTGACCTTGATCCAAAAGCTGTAACCTGCGATGAGCTCTTTGGCATCATTAACCCAGCTACCAGAGAATGGAAAGATGGTAGGGAAAAAAATCAGTGGCTTTTCCCAATGAACATACTGGCTTGGATCCAGCCATGCACAAGCAGAAACATATTTAGCACAGTTTCATTTGTAGAAGATCTAGTGCAACACTTAGTACATTCCTCTCTCTAGAACACTAGTTGCACTAGTTCCTAGAAACTAGTTGCACAGCATCTTGTGCAGGCAAAAACACAAGTGGGGATACAATATGTATGACAATATGAGTGGCTGCTGTGGTCTTTTCCTTGCATTTCACTTGCACAAGAGCTGGATCCAACCTATGGCACAGAAACTGTGAAGATAGTGCCCTGGTAAAAGACATTAAAAAATGAAATGATTATTCCTTCCCCTATTTTCTTGAATGGCTAAGTTGAAAGTTTTTGCCAGAAAACATTACCATTATGACATTTCCCCCTCCTTTCCCCAAGCAACTTCTGCAGGGAACTACCAAAATAAAGGATCATTTTTTCCTTAATGTATGCCAGTTCTCAAATCCTTTTAAAACTGGTTTAACATAAAACAAGTGGTAAGCAAAAGAAAGCAGCAATTCCTCTGTAGTCGCTGGCTCCAATTAGGCCTTGATGCTTTCTTTGAGTTCTGATCATTCCAAGGTAAAACTCCTCCATTCTAGTTCAAACAAGTATATTATAAAACTCCCATCCATCTGGATTGATCTCAGCTGGGGGTGTCTCTCCACTCAGCATTAAGTCTGAGTGAGCCAATCTCAGGAATGGCTACCTTAGCAAAGTATCCCTCTACTCTGTTGGAATTCCGAATCTTTTCTTTTTAACCAGGGTTGTATTGACACATCTTTGGATACTGTGTTATCACAGTACTAAAGCAATCAGATGCCACTGGATTTGCTTGCCTTCACAGGATTATCCAGTTGCAAATTATTGCTATAGTACACAACAGTAGTACACTATCCAATGGTATATGGATACAACCCTGATCTGCTTCTAGCCTCACTCTCCTCTACCCAAAATGTAGCAAAACTAAGAAGTTAATATGCTAACAATGAAAATCCAGAGTAACTCTGTGTTGTACAGGTTTGTTTTCAACAATCATGCGTGATCTGGCTAATATAACTCATCGTGGACCCAAATGGATTGTTCTGGATGGAGATATAGACCCAATGTGGATTGAGTCTTTAAATACTGTGATGGATGACAACAAGGTCAGTCTAGAAAACTACAGAGTCTGTCTTTGTTACTAATGGCTACTTCTGGAAAATGAGGAAATTGCTTCACTTTTATGTGCCTCCCTGCTAGGTCCTCACCTTAGCGAGCAATGAGCGAATCCCATTAAATCCCACCATGAGGCTGGTGTTTGAGATCAGTCACCTAAGAACAGCAACACCAGCAACCGTGTCCAGAGCAGGAATCCTGTACATTAACCCTGCTGACCTTGGTTGGAATCCGTAAGTTATGGTTCCTTTCAATTCCTTTGTGGCATAAAGTGGATATGCTCTTCCTTGTTCCCCTACTATAGGCAGAAGCACACTTGAGATTTTGTCAAGTCTGGAGAGTGTTTGTGTTTAGTGAAACTGAAAGAAGGAAACTGTTCTTGGTAGCAAATCGCTGTTATCTTCATAAATGTAGCATCAGGTGGAATATAGAAAGACAAGAATTTGAGTGGTTTATTGATCAAATATTATTAATAAGTTGCAAAACAGCTTCCCTATGCAACGAGCTTTGCCATCCTTCTCTTAGTAGCTATTATTCCGTAAGCTCATTTCATAAATAGGGATGACTTGCCCAAGACCACCCAGTTAGCTCATGAATGAGGGCTCAAATCTAAATCTCCCACACTTGCCTCTGGACCTTATCAGTTCTTGTCAATTCACTCTAACTTTTTCATTTCAGATAGTCTTATAACTCCCCTCTTCTAATTGAAGAATCTTTCTCCAGCAGATCAAGGCTACTTTCACCAGAACAAGGCCCCTAACAGCAGAAAGAAGTCCCTGGGTTAAGCCACTTATCAATATATCAAATGGCCAAGGGCTAGCCCCCACATAGATAGGCAAATCCATATAACAGAGCTAACCATGGCTACCATTTAGGGATCTGTAAGCCCCAGGGCACAAGCAGGTTTGTAGGAAAATCTTACTATTAAAAAAACATAGTTTGAACGTTAGAACATTAAAACTGTGTCACAGATGCACCTCTTTTGGGGGGAGATCTGACAGCTCATGACTTAGGATGTGTGTCCAGTTACCGGTGCTAGTCAAGCCTTTGTCCTGCTGGAAAAGGAGAAAATTCTAGTCAGAAACAATTCTCCAAACAGAAAAATAGAGGGCTCAAAGCAATGAATCTGTTCTAAGATTTTATTTTAAAAGAGCAGGATAAAGATCAAGCATGGATGAAACAAAAACAGTATCTTCCACTGCACAATGGTCAACTTCTCTGCTGGCATAGTCCAATCCATTCCTTATCACAGTTGTTCTCAGTGTTCCAAAACAGCCCTCCACATTTAAGGAAGCAATGTGCACTCGAGGGAAGTCAGTAACAGGTTGGCATCACCTCCAAGTAGGCACAGATAACTGTTTCCAAAAGGACAAGTAAAGGACAAGCAAAGTTCATGGGTTAGTTGATTCCCATAAGAGCTGAATAATGCTGTCAGAATGCACAGATTTCTTAAGTCATGAAGCCTGCTTGTGGCCTGAAAAACATAGCTGGGAAGAGGCAAAATTCAGCAGCCCATCAGCCGTAAATTCACTGCAGTGCCTTTTTGTTTTAAGCTATAGGTCAAAAGAAAATACAGGAATTTCCCCATCTTTGCAGGTCCCCTCTGATCTTTATCTTCAAAGAAAGGAACTCTGCTGATTTATTATACCATAAATAAGCTGCTACCAATGTGACATACAGTGCAGTCCTAAGCAGAGTTGCACTACTAAGTCCGATGAAGACAATGGGTTTAGAAGAGTGTGACTTTGTTTAGGATTGCACTGATACACAGTAAGGACTAAACATTTAAGATTCAAGCATGAGTGGTGCAGTGCTCCGTTATCGGGTTACACTGGTCAGGTGCTGTGTAATTTGTTCGATGTGTGAGTTCTTCCCTAACAGCTAAATTAGAAAACAGCTCTCCTGTGTGTTTAATGGCAGTGTTCTAAAAATAACATGGGATAAATGGGAAAGAAGAGAGAAGATAAGAGGAAGTTTACCTGAAGTGGAACACATATGATTCATACATGAAAATGCACAGCGTACTGAATGAAAAATTTTATATCATTATAATGCAGAGTAGTAAACAGCTGGATTGAACGTCGTGAAGTGCAATCGGAAAAAGCCAACTTGATGATCCTGTTTGACAAATACTTGCCAACATGTTTGGACAAGCTGAAGTTTGGGTTCAAAAAGATAACCCCTGTTCCTGAAGTTACTGTAGTGCAAACAATTTTGTACCTATTGGAGTGCCTCCTGACCCCAACCAATACACCACCGGATTCTTCCAAAGAGCTGTATGAGCTCTATTTTGTGTTTGCTTGCTTTTGGGCATTTGGAGGAGCAATGTTTCAAGACCAGGTACCTTTAAAAATTGTAATGTTAATTTTCTGTTTCATGCAGCTAGATTCGAGGCATTTTCATGCATGATGTCAAAGCTTCTCCCAAATCAGTATTACTTATGCAAAAGGCAAAAGCCATTTTCTGTGGGTGTTTAAATGTTATCTTGGTGATATGGCTGCTACCAAAAATTACTTCCACATCATCAGGGCTCCCAAAAGCTTGGCAACACTTCAGTCTGCTTCCCATATAGCTTGTTGGATTGCATGCTAAAGACCTGTGCCATCATCATACTTCCCCAGGTGCCAGTGGCACGACCGTGTGATTTGGTGACAGATGAAACAAGAAGGTGATAAGCGGTTTTTGTTGGCAAACATGTCTCTGAGATAATGTTTGATTTTACATGATATCATGTGAAGGAACAGTGTCTTTCATTTAGTTTTTTAATTGTTAGGTTTTGATAGGGCTTGTTTCAGTGTTGTTTTTTTAATGTTCCCTGTGATCAGCTAATATTTTTTATGATCTGGTCTCTCCAAATCAGTATAAAAAGCATTTAAATATGCTTCTTTTGCTCCCTAGCTTGTAGATTACCGTGTGGAGTTCAGTAAGTGGTGGGTGAATGAATTTAAAACCATCAAGTTTCCTTCTCAGGGAACTATTTTTGACTATTACATTGACCCAGAGACCAAGAAATTCATGCCTTGGACAGATAAAGTGCCACCATTTGAGCTGGACCCAGATGTCCCATTGCAGGTAATTGACAGGAGTCATTTTCTTATGTTCTTTTTCTGTTTGATTTCATTGTTTCTCCCAGAAAACTGTGAAAAGGAAATCTAAAAAACAACCATTGGGCTTAAGCCCTCTCCCCAATAATAGAAGTAGCACCTGGAGCACAAAAAGGGGGGAGGGGCCCCACCACCCCACACACTGGGAGTGACTCCAAGCAGGTCCACCCAGGAACAAGCTCTATGTGAAGCAAAGGGGGCAACCCCCAGGAAAGCAGCACGGGGAGTGCAAAAGGAACACAGGGCTGGCCATGGGTGCCCAGCAGTACCACAGCCAGGCACCCAGAGTAACCCCTGACACCAGTGGAGCAGGAGGGGAGCCATAGGGTAGGACTACTGCAAGACCACAGATCACCACTGAAAAGTTCCCAAGCAGCCCCTTGGTGTGTACCTTCCAGCCCATCGATGTCCCCAGTGATACCCAACAGTCGCTTCAGTTGCCCAGTAGTTCTTCCCTGAACTGCCACAAGTCCATGGTGCACCCCTTGCACAAGTGTGATTGAGCCACTAACATGGTGCAAGATGCTAAGTCCCATGACCACAGGATGGACCAACATAGCTCCGTGCTGCACTACTTAGCATCTGGTCTGGCTGAATATGGGCCAGACTTCCTATTGTCTGCTGAGAGCAGCCATTGACCTTTTGGGTGGGCAGGTATTTGACCAGGGATCAGTGGGTGATGGGTGCTGCACTCATCTGCTTCTTTGCAGCCTGTAGTTCTCAGGGCACTGGGGGCATGAGAGCTGGTGGGTGGGTTGCCTTCATGGGTGCCTATGGGCTACACCGGTTGGGGGGCAGTTTCTGATCTGGAGTAGCTTTGGGAGCCAACTCCCATCACACCCCCGGGCCCACTCCCTCCCCTGCCATGCTGGCACAGACGGTTATGCCACTGTATCTCAGGGATATGCCGGCATAGTAGCCATTTGGATTCCTGCTCTCCCCACACCCTTCAGGATTGTTCTGTTAACCTTGATCTATAGGCTGCAAGTGGCAGATAATTACTTTCTTTTGTTTACTTCATTTATGTCCTCTTCATGCACCCTGTTTAAATGTTTAACTGATCTCCCCTGTAAGAACTTGTTCTTAGTATGTCTAATACAAACAATGCATCTTTTGAAGAACAGATTTGGAAATGCTTCATATTGCTAAGATGTGGGAAGTCTTTATACCAATTTTTCTGTGAGCCATATAAAAGTACTTTCCAAGTGTTTTATCTTTCATATATTGGAGTTGTAGTTTATATAGATTTTATATATTTGGGAACTAGCATGGCAATAGTGTTAGAGTGGAGGACTAGAACCTGGAACAACTGGATTGGAATCTAATCTCTGTTTATAGGAGCTCTCTGGGTGACCGTGGGCCCATCATAATCTCTCAGCCTAATCTACCACACGGGTTTGTCATTGTGAGGTAAAAGTAAAGGCAAGAATGATATGATGAGCCACTCTGGGTCCCCAAAAGGGAGAACATCAGAATATAAATTTTAAAAAATAAGATCTGTGAACTAGTTTATTTTATGTGAGGGATTGTTTTACAGGCCTCAATGGTCCACACCACAGAAACAATCCGGATTCGCTATTTTATGGATCTTCTAATGGCCAAGAAATGGCCTGTGATGCTAGTTGGTAATGCTGGTACTGGGAAATCTGTGCTGATGGTGGATAAGCTGGATACTCTAAATATGGATGATTACATAGTGCAGTCTGTCCCCTTTAACTTCTACACAACATCAGCAATGCTTCAGGGTAAGGAGATGGGATGCAAGTAGACATTGTTTTCTAGGGCTTTTCTAGGTGAACAGTTATTTAGGGCAACATAATATGTTCATGTAGCACAAGAAATGCACAGGTGCTGACAAACTTCAATATCTCCAAACCATTTGATACATGGGATCCTCAAGGAAATACTTCTATACTGAGGATATTGTGGTTTCTCATCCCTCAATATGTAACTTTCCCCCCTTTATTTATTTTATTAATACAGTTATACCATGCCTCTCCTTATGGTTCAAGGCAGAAATGCAATTATTTTATCAGCTAGCTGGACCATTGTGCTGCCTAGAATATGATTACACAATTGCCACAGGCACCTATCAAATAATGCCCATGACATGTGTGATGATGAAGATCAGTAACTTGTCCTCCTCATGCCTATGAAATGATGTAATCCTAACAGCAGCATCTCCCGTTCCACTGTCTTTGTAAATTTAATTTTTTCTGCAGAGATGAAACTGACATTGGGGTACTCCAGCTTGCCTTGAAGCTAATCAGTTTCAGCTGTCATGCAAATCCTGTTTACATGCTGGAACTCTTATCCAGCTTTTAAAAAGCAATACAGGGGTTTCCCCTATATTTTCCACTGAAGTAAGAGTATCCTTATAATCTATCCTGTATTAACTAGAAATTATGCTATTGAGTTGTTGCTTGCAGGGTAATACACATTTTGAACAGATTGTCCATTTAATTCCTCAGTGATATTTTAAGTAGTGGCATTCCATTTATGCAGCTATTCTTGAGAAGCCCCTGGAGAAGAAATCAGGACGGAACTTTGGTCCCCCAGGCACTAAGAAGCTCATTTACTTCATAGATGACATGAACATGCCAGAAGTAGACAAATATGGCACTGTGGCTCCTCATACATTGATCCGGCAGCACATGGATCATGGACACTGGTATGTATGCAGATTAACTGTGATCACAGTAAATAAGATCACTGGATATTGTGTGTGTCAGGTGAGCCCACAGAGAGCCTAATGCATGAGAATGTACTCTTTTCATGGACTCTCTTACATTTCCTGTGTATGGATGGAGTCTAGAAATTTCAGAGCAATGTAAAAGGCAGTGGTATATGGAACAGGACTGCACTTCCACAAAGCTATTGTGAAAGACATATATCATACAAAATCCAATATTCATAACCTTAATAACAGATTAAAGGAAGTCGTAATTCGTAATTTTATCCTCTTTTTAAATATATGAGCTGGGCTCTAAGAAGGGGCAAGAGAGGGAACTGCTGCTGGAGTGGTGAGTGTTTTATTATTTGGTGGAATTATACAATTATGTATACATATTATGTTGCCCTAAATAAGGAAGGGCAGAGAAGTCGCATTATATGTAAAAGAGGTATATACTGGTGAGGAAATACGTGAATCTGAGCATGAAAGTCCAGTTGAGAGTCACTGGGTAAAAATAAAAGGAGTAAGAAATAATAGTGATATTATGGTAGGGGTCTGCTATAGACCACCAAGCCAGGCAGAGGTTTCAGATGAGACACCAAAGTTCTCAAAGAGATGGGACACGGTACTCATGGGAGATTTCAATAACCTGGATATCTGTTGGAAGTCCAACTCTGATAAAAATGAAAGATCTAATAAATTCCTGACTTGTCTTGCTGACAGCTTCATTTTCCAGAAAGTGGAGAGGGAAACAATGGGATCTGCTATCTTGGACTTGATTATTTCCAACAGAGAAGAACTGGTTGACAAGGTGAAAGTAGTGGGCACCCTGGGTAGTAGTGACCTAGGTTCCCTTTAAGCTGCGCCAAGCTGCGCTGGCACACCAATTTCCCGTGGTCAGCGCAGCAATTGTTACCACAGCGCAGGGGCAAGAGGTTCCCTTCCCAATGGTCATGCAGCACGGATCTATTTGCTCAGGCAGCACAGAAACACAGCAGTATGCTTTGTGTTTCCTAATCTGGACTGACCCCACCTCCCCTCAGCTGCGGTTTGCTTGCCCTGTGAAAGGGGGCACTGCTACCCTCCCCGGCAGTCCTCTGCCTCGTGCTCCTGGAGATACCCTGGCTCAGAAGGAGGACTGCTCTGTTGCCCAGCTTCTGCCCTTCCTGAGGTGAGCTGCCTGGTTGTTTGTTTGTCTTGGGGTGGGGAGCTGAGCTCAGCAGCCTGCTAGAGGCAATCTGGTAGCTTCTGGTGCTTTGCGAAGTGACTCTCTGTGCACTTAAGCCTGCAAAGTTAGTTGGAAAAGTGGGGGGAGGCTCAGCAGCATGCTAGAGGGATCTGGTGGCTTCTTGTGCTTTGCAAAGTGACTCTCTGTGCCCTTAAGCCTGTAAAGTTAGTTGGGAAAGGTGGGGGGGGAGCTGGGCTAAGCAGCATGCTAGAGGCGATCTGGTGGCTTCTGGTGCTTTGTGAAGTGACTCTCTGTGCACTTAAGCCTGCAAAGTTAGTTGGAAAAGGTGTGTGTGGGGGAGCTGGGCTCAGCAGCATGCTAGAGGCTATCTGGTGGCTTCTGGTGCTTTGCGAAGTGACTCTCTGTGCACTTAAGCCTGCAAAGTTAATTGGAAAAGGTGTGGAGGGGAGCCGGGCTCAGCAGCCTGCTAGAGGTGATCTGGTGGCTTCTGGTGCTTTGCAAACTGACTCTCTGTGCCCTTAAACCTGCAAAGTTAGTTTGAAAAGGTGGGGGGGGGGAGCCGGGCT